AATATACACAATGAATATTCATAAATTGATAGAGATGCTATAAAATTACACACAAATGTTGTTGTTTTGTTGGTTTTATTTAAATATTTACAATAAACAATTAATGGATCATACAAAAACTTGCTCCCTCTCTCTTACTCTCTTCCACTCTTCTTATAAAATAGGTATTATAATCTTAAGAAGTTATCTGCTCCACCATATGGTCCATGTCCGAAGTGTAGAGCATCCGATGTGGACTCGGATCGAGTGCGCGCATCCAGGACGGAGGCCACTCGCTGCTGGCCACTGATGTAGCCAAGTGAGCCGGAGCCCAAGTAGACGTTGCCGTTGGGCAGTCGGATGTAGCCCAATCCGCCTGAGCCGAGAGCGATGGCATCGCCTTGATTTGCACGCGGCTGCAAGCTCAGGGCCTGCTGCTCTAGAACCAACGCATTGGCACGCGAGTCCAGCTGGAAGCCAACACCCGTGGACGTGGGCGTGGCACTGGTGCCACTGGCGCCCACACTCGCACGATATTGATCCAAGAAGCCGGAGTTGAGGAACGGAGCTGGGCTGTCGCTGATGTCGTTGTCGATGATCTCGATGACCGCATACTGCTTCAGCTGGCGTCCATTGGCCACGTAGGACTCGCCCGGCGAAAAGAGCGCCGTCTTGCCGAAGGGAATGCGCAGCGGCTGGGCAGCAGCCGGAGCACTGGGCACATGAATGGGCAGCGACTGCTGTGTGGGCGACTCGACCTGCACCTTGGCATGGGCGTTGCCATGGAAGGTGATTGAGGACAGCGGCGCAGCATAGGCGGGCGCTTGATAGCGGCTCACCACGGGCCCAGCTGGCGTTGGTGGCAGATAGCGGCTGGCCAGGCTCTGCGTTGGCTGCTGGATGCGCGTTCGGGGTAGCGGCGGCAGCGCCGGCACAGGGGGCAGCGGCTGCACCGTGGGCAGAGGCGAGAAGTGGTGTCCCGTTAAAATGGCCGAGGACGCCGTCGGGGCATAGTGACCCGCAGACGGACGATCGTAGTGATAGCCAGCGGGCTCAGCTGCCAGAGGATGAGCAGCGACCAGCAGGAGCAGGAGCAACAGCCGAGGCAGCTCTGTCAACAAGCGGTACATCTATAGAAAAGAATGAGAGAGAGATTGAGTGATTGAGTGAATGAGGTGGAGTGAGTCTCGTTTATGGCGTCATAATTAATAATGGAAGCCCCAATCAATCTTATAAATGTTTAATGAGACACAAACATAATTGTTGAAAATCACTTAACGTTTACAGTTAACGGTTTTTGGTTGTTGCTTTGATTTGGCTTTTGTTTATTTGTGGTTTAACCTGTCCACAGTGGATACCCTATAAGCGATCGAGAGAAAGCATATAGACTAAGACAGTGGGTTGGGCATGGATACTACTCGTATATAGAACTCTATTCATTCATAATAAATTAAATCGATCTATTGCGAATTGCATTAATGTCAGGTTTGCTCAGAGCGTTAACTGACTTCAGCTAGAGTTTTACAGTTGTGATATTTCTATATCTTTATATACCTACAAACTATAGCCTATATAAATGTCTCTAGCTCTATATATATATATTTTTATATTTTTCATATTGTTTATTATATTTTAATATTTATTATTTTATATATATGCATATACAATATTATTATTTATAAATAATTTTTTTTTATGTACCAAAAATTACATCTCTTAAATAACAGAGAAATTATTAATTTTATAAAAAATAAAATCGCCTACTCTTTATAGAGCATTTAAGGTTCATCAACTCAGCGGCACTTCGAGTTCGCGTAATTTAATTGATTTAATTTCGTGGCAGCACGCTTGCAGCAGCCACTGTACGCGCGCTCCGGCTGTAAGCTGCGGCGCGTAATTGGCGTGATATTTCAAGCATGGATTGCGGACTCGCATGTGGTTGCCCAAGGCACAGACAGCGATCACTACCGTGGCCAATGGCTATAATGGACTGCGACTAATTAGCCAGCTTAACGAGGAAGCCCTCGACTCTTCGAGCAGCTGTCAGCTGGAATCAATAAGTAAATACCCTTTGGCTCTGGCAGCAGCAGCAGCAGGTGGCAACAACTCCCACCCGCTACTCCATTATCGACTCAAAACGCCCAAGAGTTGATATTAATCAACTGCGAGTCGAGCCACAATTGGCGGCAGGTTCAAATGTGCCTGCCACTGGGTGGACTAGTTGCAGCTTGTGGCGTGTGGCAAAAAGCGCTTTTGTTGCATGATGTTGTTGTTGTTGTTGCTGTTGTTGCTGTTGTGCTTTGCGCGTGGGCGTCGAGTCAGCGCGGTTCATGGGAACATAACTCAACCATTCAACAGTATTTCTACATCAATTTGGCGCTTAATTAAGCTATTTAACAACAGCAACAACAACAACTAAGGTGAGGCGTGTTTTGGGGTTATAATTGTGAAGCCTTTAGTCGCGCTTGAATTTCTATTGAATCTATTGCAAATGGGCAAGTCGAACATATTGTTTTTGCGAAAATATCTATAACAGACATCAGGAGGCGTGGGTGATATCATGAAGTAGACATTCGTATGCACTCGAACAGGGTATAGAGTCGGGTCTTTGTCGTTGCAGTCTTTCATTTGACTGTAGGTCTGTCCATCCGCCTGTGAATCTGTCTCTCCAGCTATAAGTCTGTCCATCCGCCTGTGATTCTGTCTCTTCCTCTGTAAAATTATTCATACCTTTGTGAGTCTGTCTCTTCATTTATATGTGTGTCCATCTATTTACAAAACATTCAGTCTATAACTCTGTCTCTCCATCTGTAAGTCCTCTCTCCCACCATCCATTTACATTTTTAGCTTTTAGCTTATTTCTTATATATAGGATCCAGTATTTCCATATAAAACAAGTAAGAAGGCTCCAGTCGAGACTGCTCGACTAGGAGATACCCTGAACCCTCCAAACTGATATTCTAATCATTCTGGACTTCTTTTATGCACACATACATACACATGCACGTATAAGCACGCGCTCTGCAAACTGCGCAGCTAGCAGCGGCTGCGCTTGGGCTGCACTGCAGTATGGGCAATATTATGAGAAATTATTTGTTGAATAATTTCTTTTGTAGACATAGGATCTTAATAAAACTTTCAGAGCGTATTCATATGGTGAATATGTGTGTACATTCCAAAGCACAAGTCTCTAGTACTTTAAATGCGTTTTTTACAAATTGGGGGCGAAGGGGGCGTGGTATCCAAAATCTGTAAAATACAAAATCTTTGTATTTATTAACTTTATATACAACGCAAATTTGAAGACTCCAGGTCTAAAAGTGTTCAAATTAAGCTGAAAAAACAATGTCGATTTTTCGATTATTCTCGATAAAAAAGTTATCGGACGAGTTATCGAAAAAATAAAGCAAACTTGTACTGCCTATGGTATACACGAGTATGCATGCCAAATTTCAGCTCTCTAGCTCTTATATCTTCTGAGATCCTTTTGCTCATACGGACGGACGGACAGACGGACAGGGCTATATCGACTCAGCTCGTCGTCCTGATCAAGAATATATATACTTTATGGGGTCTGCGATGATTCCTTCTGCCTGTTACATACTTTTCACAAAACCATTATACCCTGATTTCCCATTTTCAATGGGTTCAGGGTATAAAAATATATGTGATATATATAAGAAACAGTTTTATAGGATTTATATTATATTATTATAAGTATACTAGTAGTATATATATATACAATAATATATTAATAATATATATAGATATATATATATAATACAAAATATACATATATGCATGTACAACGTCAACTTCATACTCAACCTCACTTGTTCACATATAATAAAGACTAAAGTCAATGATCACAAGCACTGATAATGATGTCTGATGATCTAGCACTAATCTTATTGAGACCGTAGCTAGGGACAAGGATCGTGCAACACGTGAATAAGAATATGGATAATCTTTAATAATAACTATTGATAATTTCCCTCTTCTAATCAGGTAGTTCTACTGCATATGAAAACAGGTTTCAGTTAAAACATAGCAATTATAAATGAATTATATTTCAAAGAATAATACATAAATGAAAGTGTCCAATGTGATTTATAACCAGCCTTCAGCACCAGTTGACAGCTATTCATCGGGCTGATTGCAAATGAGATGAAATGAAATGTGCTTAAGAGCTATGAAAACCGGTTGTTAGCTTACTTAAATGCTAGCTTAAGTAGATTGCGTATGTAAAACAAAAGTTATACATTAAAGTTACATTTATATGAGAATAAATAAATTATCTTATATTAATCTATATTCCCTTAGAAGGAAAATTATATATTTTGTCATAAGCTAGATTATTATATATTATATATTTTATCATAGGCTATATTATTTATTTATTTAATGTTATATTCCTTGGAAATTTAAAAACTGTCCATGTTTCAGTCCTACATTATTTTAATACTCAAGTTATATATTTAGAGGTCGTTAAAAAAAAGGTGAGAGAGATAAAAATCCATTAAAAATTTCTGAAATCCGAAGAATTATTGGATCTCGCAGTCAAGCAGTCTCAACTAATGCACTCTTTTTTGCTCCATTTTAATTCAGTCAACAATCATTAACAGTTATATGAATGCAAACTGAAATTAGAAATTTCAAAATGAATTTAGTCAAGAGCCAAGATGTGTCTACATTAAAACGAAAATATGTAAATTTATGTGACTTTAGGAAAATTATTGCATATGATAATACACTGCTTCGTTTTTTAAAAATTAGTTTTTAGCTATCTAAAAGTTAATAAAGGTTCAAATTAATTAACCAAGCTCTGAATAGATGAGCAAATTGGTAACTTCAGTAATCTAAAGTAATTTAAAACTGCTGTTCATAAATTGTATCATGGGCTAGACCTTCATATTCCAATTATTTAATGTTCTAACATTCCTGGATAGTGATATTATTATACAGTCGTTATCTAGGTCTAGGTCGGCCTTATAAAAGCCGAGGGCTTTCTTCTTTCCGCCAGACTCAACTTAACAATGTCAGTTAAGCTTGTGGCTTTTTTGCTGCTCCAAACCGCAGTAGCTGTCCTGGCGGGCGTTCGCCCATTCAATGAGCTCATTAGACGACCACCGCGCCTCGATGGTCGCATTGTTGGTGGTCAACCTATAAACATAACAGATGCTCCATACCAAATTTTTTTAATAACTCCTGGATTTTTTTGCGGCGCTGTCCTGATCTCGAAGGAGTGGATACTAACAGCAGCGCATTGCACCTGGTAAGTCGTTCCGGCAGCATATTTCAATTTCAGAAATTATCCCCTATTCTTTCTACTCCAGGAAAGTTAAAGCCAATTCTATACTCGTGGTGTTAGGCACCACTGAAATCTCCCAAAACATGCAGCCGCAAAAAATCAAAAAGAAAGTTGAACACGAAAAGTACAACAATTTAGATTTCGAATATGATTTTTCGCTGTTGCAGCTGCAGGAACCAATTGAATTCGATGAGACCAAGCAGGCTGTTAAGCTGCCGAAGCAAGGTCAAGAGTTCAAGGACGGTGAAATGTGTTATGTAAGCGGTTGGGGCAAAACACTGAATCCTGAGGAGTCAAGCAAGTGGCTGCGACAGGTGAAGGTGCCGCTGTACAACCAGAAAGAGTGTAGGAAGCGAAACCTTCTAATCGGCATTGTGACAGATAACATGATCTGTGCTGGCTATTCGGAAGGTGGCAAGGATTCCTGTCAGGGTGATTCTGGTGGTCCCTTGGTAAATGGGAACGGTGTGTTGGTGGGCGTGGTGTCCTGGGGCAAGGGATGCGCCTTACCCAATCATCCGGGCGTATACGGTAGAGTATCCTATGTTCGTGAATGGATTAGGAAGCACAGCGGTGTTTGATTTGCTAACTAACTAAATAAAAAACCAACAATATGCAGCAATTATAAAATAGTCTCCAATCATTTACCCACACCTATTCCAAAATGCAGAAATGAATAAAAATCTGACGGTATACAGATGCTACCAATTCCGATTGCTAATACAATTATTATTACTATTAATGGTATCGATTAATATCTATACAAAAATTCAGTTATAAATTATAACTTCTACATAGGAATGAGTTTCTGAGCTAGAGCTAGTCTCCAAAATCTGTATTAATTTGTATTTTTATACCCTGAACCCATTGAAAATGGGAAATCGGGGTATAATGGGTTTGTGTAAAGTATGTAACAGGCGGAAGGAATCATCGCAGACACTATAAAGTATATATATTCTTGATCAGCACGACGAGCTGAGTCGATATAGCCCTGTCCGTCTGTCCGTCCGTCCGTATGAGCAAAATGATCTCAGAAGATAAAGGAGCTAGAGAGCTGAAATTTGGCAAGCATACTCGTGTATACCATACGCATGTGTGCATAAAAGAAGTCCAGAATGATTATAATATCAGCTTGGAGGGTTCAGGGTATCTCCTAGTCGAGCAGTCTCGACTGGAGCCTTCTTACTTGTTTATGCTCATTCACGAACTGAGTGTATTCTTTTTGTGCAATGTCCGTATTGCTGTCCGTCCGTCTGTCCGTCCGTTTGTAGATCCGCGTCGACCACCCAAGATCGTCCATTGGGGAGGTGTGGCAAATCGATTACGACTGTATGCACGAGTAAATTGGAAATTTTAAAAAGTTATTTAGTTAATAACCGATACGTGCATATATAAGAAAAGCGAATAGAAAACAACTTATATGACATGAATGAAGTTATTGCAGACCATAAAACACTTCTTCGCTTTAAATTAGCCTTTTTGTTATCGAGAAATTAATAAAGTTTGAAAATATTGAGCCATGCTCTAATTAAATGAGCAAACAGGTAATTTAAAGTAGCAAGGTTATCTAATGCAATTTAAAACACCTTTTCATTGACTCAAGTAATGCATCAAGGTTATTCCTGACTTATCTCTCACTTAAAGAAATATTTTGTGCATTCATTTTCTAATTATTTTTGTATGCCAAGTCAGCATTCTTAGATAGTGGGATACTTAGATAAACTTTTTCTTTGTTGGGTCGGCCTTATAAAAGCCAAGAGCTTTCTTCATTCCGCCAGAGTCAACTTAACAATGTCAGTTAAGCTTGTGACTTTTTTGCTGCTCCAAACCGCAGTAGCTGTCCTGGCGGGCGTTCGCTCGTTCAATGAGCTCTTCAGACAACCTCCGCGCATCGATGGTCGCATTGTTGGCGGGCAACCTATAAACATAACAGACGCTCCATACCAAATCTCTTTACAACTCGTGCTTCCACTATCTTTGATACATGATTGTGGTGGCTCACTGATCTCGAAAGAGTGGATACTGACGGCCGCGCATTGCACCTAGTACGCTGTTCGGAATGCAGATTCTACTTTCACAAATTAACTTCTTCTTATTTCTACTCCAGTGGTAGGAAAACTAATCAACTACGCGTGCGGCTTGGCTCCTCTGAAAGTAAAAGAAATGGGCAGCTTCTACGAATCAAAAAGATTGTTAACCACGAAAAGTACAACCATGTAACTACCGATTATGATTTTTCGCTGTTGCAGCTGCAGGAACCAATTGAATTCGATGAGACCAAGCAGGCTGTTAAGCTGCCGAAGCAGGGCCAAGAGTTCAAGGACGGTGAAATGTGTTATGTAAGCGGTTGGGGCAAAACACTGAATCCTGAGGAGTCAAGCAAGTGGCTGCGACAGGTGAAGGTGCCGCTGTACAACCAGAAAGAGTGTAGGAAGCGAAACCTTCTAGTCGGCATTGTGACAGATAACATGATCTGTGCTGGATATATGCAAGGTGGCAAGGATGCCTGTCAGGGCGATTCTGGTGGTCCCTTGGTAAATGGGAACGGTGTGTTGGTGGGCGTGGTGTCCTGGGGCAGGGGATGCGCCTTACCCAATTATCCAGGCGTATACAGTAGAGTATCCTATGTTCGTGAATGGATTAGGAAGCACAGCGGTGTTTGATTTGCTAACTAACTAAATAAAAAAAAAAAACACAATATGCAGCAATTATAAAATAGTCTACAATCATTTACCCACACCTATTCCAAAATGCAGAAATAATAAAAATCGGACGGTATACAGATTCAGGTCCCTGTATAGCACGCGAAGATCGTGTCATAATCCGTCCCAAAAAACAATACTAATACGAATAAATATTTTTTATTTAAATGAAAAAGACTGCTGAAATCCAGTATTCGGTACTCAAAATCATGCTTCTTTTTCATGCTGATTTTCATTACTTTAAGGCGCAAATTACATTTGGCTGTTCCATTATTAAAGTCAGAATAATACGTTTTCACCATATTCAATTTTTGTACATTCGCAATTGGTTCACTTATCACAGGAGTTACTAACGCAAATATATCAAAAATATCGGGAAAATATTCGATATTGGGCAAAACATATTCCGATATAGATATATGTATATTTTGTTAAATGATATATCGATATATTGATATTTTGATATATTTTCAACAACTCCTTTACAGAGTGACAATACTCGCCCATACAATGTCTGTATTGTAGCATATTCTAAGAATCATAGTTGAGTTTGAGTTGTGCTAGAATTCTCTGCTGTTATTTTAGTTTAGCTTTCTTTTAGCTCGCGCTCTAGAGGTGAATTGAAAGCCGGAATCAATTCCACGTTGAGCAAAGCTTATTTTCTATTGAATTTTTTCTTTTTTTTCTTTTTTGCAAATATGGCATTGTTGGTAAAGGGTTTTCCCCTTAACACAAATGAAAATTTAATTTTATTTTGATAATTTAATGTGTATTCCAGCTATGGAGTATAATTGAAAACGCAGATTGGCCGGGGTTAGTCACCCCTAGCACCGCAAACTAGAGCTTTCTTACTTGTCTCAATTTGTTTTATCAAGATTGAGTAATAGCGCTGTAATGCAAATGTATATGGGTGCGACAGATTAAAGCCAAGTTGGAGATTGCTTTTAATTTGTGTCAAGAGAAAATTGAGCTTATCATTTAATATGAAGTATTTCTGAAATTTAAATTGATTGAAATAATTGAAGTCAATATACATACAGTTATATAAATGCAAGAATAAATTAGAAATTTTTAAAAGTAATTTAGTGAACAGCCAATAGGTGTATATATTGGAAGAATAGAACAAAATTTTGTATATGGCATGAGATAAATTATTGGAGACCACAACACGCCTTCTCGCTTTAAATGAATCTTTTTATACTCATTCACGAAAGTTAATTATTATCATTCACGATAGTGAGTTAGTATATTGGTTTTGTACAATGGCCGTCTTGCTATCCGTTCGTCCGTCTGTCCGTATGAACGCAGTTCAATTCGGCGCTATTGAAGCTAGAGACTTGAAATTCGGAACACATACTCGTGTATATCTCCGATTTATAAAGGGCTCAAATTTTCGCGATCCGCCCACTAGGGGCGTGGCAATTCGGAAAATGCATTTTTCGATATGCCAGAAATCATAATAGTTAAGAGCTAGAAAACTGAAATATAGATCCGCGTCGACCTTGGGTGGTGATCTTGGGTGATCACGAGCTATGGCGGATATATCTGCGCCCATTGGGGGCGTGGCTGAAATTTGGAATATAGATCCGCGTCGACCACCCAAGATCACTAGCTATGGCGGGTGTGGCGAATCGGATAAAACTGTATCTCTACTTATATATATAGCGAATAGGATCTGAAGATATAGTGATTTTTTAAATTTTGCTATATTTTGGACACACAAATTTTGTATATATACTCGGGCTGACCACCCAAGACCAAACAGCTTTGTCGGATATATGTCCGCCCACAGGGGGCGTGGCAAATCGGGAAAAACTGAATTTTCTACAGTATTAGAGAGAAACTTTACTAAATTGCTGATTGGATGTGAATGAGTATTGCGCAGTCGGTAATGCCCGACTGCAACGTTCTTGTTTGTTATCTAGAAATTAGTAAAGTTTCAAAATAATGAAATAAGTTCTAAAGGTATCTTAAGGTAATCTAATACAATTTGAAACACTTTTTCATTAGCTCAAAAAATGCATCAAGGGCTATTCCTGATTTGTCTATCATTTAACAAATATTTTGTATAAAGATTTATATTTTCTTCGATAGTGGGATTATTAGACAATCGTTTCTAGGTCTAGGTCAGCCTTATAAAAGGCAAGTGCTTCCTTCCTTCCGCCAGAGTCAAATAAACAATGTCAGCTAAGCTTGTGACTTTTTTATTGCTCCAAACCGCAGTAGTTGTCCTGGCGGGCGTTCGCACGATACAACAGCCAGTCTATCGCCAACCTTCGCTAATCAATGAGCTTTTCAGACAACCACAGCGCATCGATGGTCGCATTGTTGGTGGAAAACCTATAAACATAACAGATGTTCCATACCAAATCTCGCTGCAAGTCTCGTTTCTAATATTCTTGAAGCATATTTGCGGCGGTTCACTGATCTCGAAGGACTGGATACTAACGGCAGCGCACTGCACCCAGTAAGTTTTTCGGACTGCGGGCTCTACTTTCAGAAATTAACAATAATTTCTTCTACTCCAGTGGAAAGAAAGCTAATCAACTACGCGTGCGGTTAGGTACCTCTGAAACTAAAAGAAATGGGCAGCTTCTACGAATCAAAAAGATTGTTAACCACGAAAAGTTCAACCATTTAAATTACGATTATGATATTTCGCTGTTGCAACTGCAGGAACCAATTGAATTCGATGAGACCAAGCAGGCTGTTAAGCTGCCGAAGCAGGGCCAAGAGTTCAAGGACGGTGAAATGTGTTATGTAAGCGGATGGGGCGACACACTGAATTCTAATGAGTCAGACGAATGGCTGCGACGGGTGCCGTTACCGCTGGTCAACCAGGAGCAGTGTAGGAAGCAAAACCTTCTAATCAACATTGTGACAGATAACATGATCTGTGCTGGCTATTCGGAAGGTGGCAAGGGCGCCTGTCACGGCGATTCTGGTGGTCCCATGGTAAATGGGGACGGCATGTTGGTGGGCGTAGTGTCTTGGGGCAATCCGTGCGCAAAACCAAACTATCCGTCCGTATTTGCTAGAGTATCCTATGTTCGTGAATGGATCAGAGAGCACAGCGGTGTTTGACTTGCTAACTAACTAAATAAACAACCTTCAGCAGCAATAATAAGATAGTATCCAGTCATTTATGCGCACCTATCTCAATTGGCTATGCAGATTGCAGCACAGCGGAGACAATTTTTGTAGGATCGTATATAGATTTTTATAAAACTTAGATATTTGTTATGCTTCGGATACCGGTTCTCAATCCACAGAACAAGGGTGTTTATGAAACAAATCAGTTCTAACAATACAGCTCAGTGGCTGTCAACTGCGCTGTCAACTGCGCAGTTAGCAGATTGCCTGCAAATGCGTGTGTGATTCAGGGAATCGAGTAGTCTCAGCTAGAGCTTTCTGGCTTGTTCTTCTCAAATACAGCTTTCAGCTGCAAATTTTGATACAATCTCTGTGTTGGCAAAGTCTGTTGCCTAAGTCCTTTGTTTGGCTCTGTCTATAAATCAGCTGACACGCACAAGAAAAAAAGAAAATGAAAACAACTAAGAGGGCTCTAGTCGAGACTGCTCGACTAGGAGATACCCTGGACCCTCTAAGCTTATATTCTACTCATTCTGCACTTATTTTAGGCATACATTCAAACACACGCATTCACACGTACATCTAATCACTGCGCTGCAGTGTGGGGGGTATGTTATGAGAATTTACTTGTTGAATAATTTCATTTGTAGACATATGTACAAACTTAATGAAACTTCCAGAGCGTAATCATATAGTTCATATGTGTGTACATTCTAAAGCACAAGTCCCTAGTACTCGAAATACGTTTTTTACAAATTGTTGGCGAAGGGACGTGGTATCGAAAATCTGCGTATGGTACACACGAGTATGCATGTCAAATTTCAGCTCTCTAGCTTTTATAACTTCTGAGATCGAGGCACTCACACGGACGGACGGACACGGCTATATCGATTCAGCTCGTCGTGCTGATCAAGAATATATATATTTTATGGGGTCTGCGATGACTCCTTCTGCCTGTTACATACTTTTCACAAAACCATTATACCCTGATTTTCCATTTTTAATGGGTTTAGGGTATAAAAAAAAAAAGCTCACACAATTCTCAAGATTCGTATAGCCACAGATTCCATTTGTAATAAATTTTGCGCTCCACAATGTCCACAATAAATCAATAAATGTGACCGAACGCAACTTTTTGTGCAGTTTTTTATCGAGTTCCTTTATAATATATATATAATTTTTTGCATACGCACCCAACGCATTTTTTACGATCACAGCCATTGCAGCGTGTGCCAAAAGTGGACAAGAAAATTTAAAAAAAAATGCACTTGGCAAAAAGCGGACACTGGTCCAAAGCAGAGCAAAAAGCGCGTTGAGTCTGTCACAGCAAAAAAAGAAAAATAAAAAAATATATATACTGTAGTATCTAGTATCTAGAGCTATGATAAAACAGATTTCATTTGCGCAGAATGAAAGATGCAAGTAAAAGTTGAGTAAGAAATATATGTATATTTGCATAAAAACTAAGCCAAAAAAGATTTCGCTGTATTATAAATCTGTTGCAATCTCCAGCTCTCATCCTTTCAGCTAACTCTTGAGTCAATATTTGAGCAGCCTTTTGCTGTGATTCGTGCAACTTTGAGCGTACTTGACGCGCACTTGAAGCCTGCGCCATCGAAAGCTGTTGCATCACTGCAACACTTTGGTTTGCCTTCTGGCCCCTTTATGCGAGCAGGCTGGCCATAACAGAAAGCCGCTCGAAAGGCACTTGGCCAAAGGCAGCCAGCCAGCTAGTCAGCTAGTCAGCTAGTCAGCCGGCCAGCCAGGCTGGCGATGCCGATTGTCGATTGCCGATTGCAGTTACAGTTCCAGTTCAAGTCTCAGATCTCGCGTCGCGGCTCTGGACGCTCAGGTCTCAATTCGCTGTTGGCCATTTCGAATTCAATGAATGAATTGCATTGATTGAGCGACGTCGCACGCACCTCACTTCGAACTGGTCCACAATAGCAACAACAACAACAACAACAACAAGAGCGAACAACATCCACATCCATTTAAGCGCTATGCGTCTCACTCCTTCCCTCTCTCTCTTTCTGTCTCTCTCTCTTCT